AGAGGAAGGAGAAGGAAAAGGGGAAGGGAGGGAGGAACAAAAGAGAAAGTAAAGGGGGAAAGAAAGAGGAAGAGGAAGAAGGACGGAAGGGAGGGAGGGATGAAGGAAGGAAAAGGGGAAGAGGAAGGGCGGGAGGGAGGAACAAAAGAGAAAGGGAAGGGGAAAGAAAGAAGAGGAGGAAGGAAGGAAGGAAGGAAGGGGGAGGGGAAGGGGAGGGAGGAACAAAAGAGAAAGGGAAGGGGAAAGAAAGAAGAGGAAAAAAGAAGGAAGGGAAAGGGGAAGGAAGGAAGGAAAGAAAAGAGGAAGGGGAAGGAAAAGGGGAAGAGAGGGAGGAACAAAAGAGAAAGTAAAGGGGGAAAGAAAGAGGAAGAGGAAGAAGGAAGGAAGGAAGGAAGGAAGGAAGGAAGGAAGGAAGGAAGGAAGGAAGACCAATATTAGACCAACAATCAAGGAATAAACAATTCCTCCATCAAGGAACTACCAGCTCAGACAAACAATCAAACAGTAAACCGCAGCCTCATCAAGGGATCACCAAGGGGCACTCCCACCAAGGCTAACAGGGCAAGCCCTTAGTATAGAAGCGGAGAGCAAACGCCGCCACCCCTTCTAGCACTGATGATGTTACCTAGTTGGGTCATTAAACATCTACACGAGAACTACAAAGCCCAGAGAGCACCATGGACCCCGAGCTCCAAATATTTGCTTCCACTGAATCTTGAAAGGTTTTTTTCCAAGACTTTGCGATGTAGGTGGAACCCGGCCGATCTACATTTTGTTAGTTTCCCATCCGGAACATTCCCCCATGTTACCTTTGATATTCCCAGCAGCTTGAATCTTGCGCCAGGCCTCTTCTACTTTTTCCGTTTCCGTCCCGGTGGACGTCACAAGAGCCACGGGTAGCCCGTGGCTTCTAAGGACACTCGCCAACTTGTGGGCTGTGTCCACCCAAAGGTCCCCCTCAGAAGAGACGATGCCAACGTGAGCCCAGCTGAAATATTTCAACACGGCGAGGAGGACCGTAGCCGCGGAAGGCAACGTTCTGATCAAGGCCGGTTGGTCCATCGGATAGTCCAGGTGGTCCTCCAGGCAGACCCAAGATAACATGGCTTTGTTCCAGCCTCGGGCTAGCCAAGAGGCAGCCTCGCAGTGGCGAGGATTCAGCGGTCCTACGAACGCGGACAGATTCTTGGAGGAGTCAGCAAATCTCGCCATTGCTTTCCAGGCCTGGCCGTCTTCCTCAAACAAGAGGTGATCCAGTTGGTGGATCGCAGAGAGGGAAGGATCCTTCTTGATCCTCTCCGCGGCTAGTTGAGCAGCAACTTCAGGCAGGGTGCTGGAGAAGGAGGGGTCGCGGGACCAAGGTCCCACCAGACCGAGCGTAAGGGCTGGGCAACAGACTGGAGCAAGTGCCAGGATCGTCCCTAAGAGGACACCCCTGTGAAGGTCCAAGGAGGGCAAAGAGGGCCAGCTGGCATACGGGGTGAAGGCAAGGGGGCAGGAGCTTAGCCGCCGTGGCATCCCGGCGGAGGAGGCCAAGGTCACCGTCTGTGAGGATGACCGACCTGTTGAAGGGGAGAAGACGTTAGATTAGAAGATCATTAGAGACCACTGTCCATTTCAGAAAAGGCAGGCACAGCCACACTTCTCTCTCTTTCTCTTTCTCATTCTCTCTCTTATCCTTTCTCTCTTTCTCATACTCTTTCCTATTCTCTCTCTCATCCCCTCTGTCTCTCATTCTCTCTTACACACATTGTCTCTCATCCTTTCTCTCTCTCTCTCCTTCTCTCTTTCTCATTCTCTTTCCCATTCTCTCTCTTATCCTTTCTCTCTCTCTCATTTACACACACATTCTCTCTCTCATCCCCTCTGTCTCTCATTCTCTCTCTCCTATTCTCCCTCTCATTCTCTCTTACACATTCTCTCTTTCTCATTCTCTTTCCCATTCTCTCTCTCATCCCATCTCTCATTCTTCTATTCTCTCTCATTCTCTCTTATACACATTCTCTCTCATCCTTTCTCTCTCTCTCTACTTCTCTCTTTCTCATTCTTTCCCATTCTCTCTCTCATCCTTTCTCTCTTTCTCATTCTCTTTCCCATTCTCTCTCTCATCCCGTCTCTCATTCTTCTACACTCTCAAATTCTCTCTTACACACATTCTCTCATCCTTTCTCTCTCTCTCTACTCTCTCTCTCTCTCTCTCTCTCATTCACACACACATTCTCTCTCTCATCCCCTCTCTCTCATTCTCTCCTATTCTCTCTCTCATTCTCTTACACATTCTCTCATCCTTTCTCTCTCTCTCTACTTCTCTCTCTCTCTCTCTCATTCACACACACATTCTCTCTCTCATCCCCTCTGTCTCTCATTCTCTCTCTCCTATTTTCTCTCTCATTCTCTCTCTTACACATTCTCTCATCCTTTCTCTCACTCTGTCTCTCTCACTCTCTCTCACACACACATTCTCTCTCTCATCCTTTCTCCTTCTCATTCTTTCCCATTCTCTCATCTTCTCTCTCTCTCCTTCTCTCTCTCTCTCTCTCTCTCTCTCTCTCTCTCTCTCTCTCATCCTTTCTCTCTCTCTCTCATTCACACACACATTCTCTCTCTCATCCCCTGTCTCTCATTCTCTCTCCTATTCTCCCTCTCATTCTCTCTTACACATTCTCTCTCATCTTTTCTCTCACTCTCTCTCTCTAATTCTCTCTCACACACACATTCTCTCTCATCCTTTCTCTCTTTCTCATTCTCTTTCCCATTCTCTCTCTCTCTCTCTCTCTCTCTCTCTCTCTCTCTCTCTCTCTCTCTCTCTCTCTCTCTCTCTCTCTCTCTTTCTTTCGCTATAAAACACAGTGAGTGACCCATTGCTGTTCTACCAGCTTCTGTTTTTTACAGAAATGTGCAGATGGAAGAGAGATTTGCAGAACTGAATAATAAAGGAAAGTAATTTCTCTCAAATATAGCAAAGCCTTAAAAATTCCAAATTGTCTCTCCAGCAAGCGGTCAAGATAAGGATGCCTCAGCTTTCAAATATCGTTTGAAATCAGGCAGTTTTCTCTAGTCACGTGAGGCGTTTACAAAGATCGGGATTTATTATTATTATTATTGTTTTATTTTTAAACGGAATAGTTGGATCTCTCTTTCCAAAGCCAAACTTGGAAAAAGCTATTTGGATGGTGGCCACTGACAGGGCAGAAATCCACTTACCAAATTCCTGAGTGGAATTGTCCAAGGTTAGGGATACCACGATACAGAAAAACACAAACGTTCAGAGAGTCCTCGTTTTTTTTCTTTTTCTTTTAAGAAAATAACTGAAAGAAAATAATTCTGGAAAAATGACTTTACAAGTCTCCTCTGTCTCTGAAAAGCTAGCACTTTCCCCAACTGTGATGGGAGATATGAAGCAGATTGAAGATTCGGCACCAAGGAGATTTCCCCTTGAGATTTCCGATTAATGCTTCGTTGGAAGAGC